CCGTTAACAAAGAGAAGAAGAAATAAGTACCTATAGATGTGAAAAAATTAGAGTAAAGAAGATGAAGAGAGTAGACTAACACAGAATGAAGAGGTACCTACAGATGGAAAAAAAACTAATTTGTTAGCGAGAGAAGACGAAAAGAGCATACTAACAGAGAAGATGAAGAAAACATAAGAGAGCAAAGAAGAAATTTACAGTGAAAGAGACCAGCTTTGTTAGCTAAGAAGAAGAAATGCGTTGAGCGTGTTCATTTATAAATGACTTTAATAAAATTAGAGAGCGGTTCTTTATTAACCGCTCTCTAATGTGTACTTTAGAAAGCGGTTAATAGAGAACTGTTCTTTAAATATATAATTACAAAATGATTTTTATTAACCGCTATCTAAGTTAACGCTCCAAAAACTCATTTCTGGTGTAGTGGTATATGAATGGGTTAGATCCTAGGTTACTTAAAATGAAAAGAAAGATTGCAACAAAACTTTCAATTGTTGCGTAGATGTATTGATGATGGCATCCTCGAAGTCAATTGTCAAAATCAAAGTCGACAAACCATAGGCAGAGATACTCTTAAGGTCATAATTAGTGTTTAAATTCCAACAATGAGCAATTCAAAATACAAATTATAACATGCATTATAGTTGATTTTTGGTTTATGATTACATACCCAGAATACATCCTTGATTCATGTCTTTGATTTGATTCGTCTTTCTTATATGATTACCTACTTGTATCCTTCCATAATCCAATATTCGTCTTTCTGTCGTGACTTGGTTTATCTGGATAAAATCACCAAGCGAAGAAACCAACTTACAGAAGAATAATTCACTCCAAGCATGCAAAGGGACCCCATAACACCGTACCTAAGTCACCCTCCACGCAACTACCATACTTGGGTGCCACTCTCGTAGATCATAGAACCATTTCTCCCACCACAATTTGTTGAGCGATATTGTATCCTCTAAATCTACTCCCGCATCAGATTCCACTAATACCATATCGTCACCTATGGTCGTGAGATTAATATCCAACATACATTCTCGTAGAAGAGCCCGTCGCATATTTTTTAAATCTTGTTTTCTATGAAGTCATCCGACTATAGCACCTCTACATTCCTCAAGTCGCCCCTCATCCACCTCAAACTCAAGGTGAGCCCAAGGTTTCTTCTTTTCCACCCACTTTTGCCCTATATGTGTCTCAACTAGACGGGGTGCTTTAAGCTTTTCCGCATACGTATTCCTTGACGTCTTTATAGCTCATGTGACAAAGGAGAGTCTCGTTTCACTGCCCTTCGCAGACACCTTTGTACCCACAATTTTCTCCCATGCATGCCTTGTCAAGTTGATAGACAAGCACATTCTGCTAATGACAATATATTTTTATTAATTAACCAAATATGTTTTATTAAATATATTTTTTAATCAAATTAAATCAAAATCATTTACTAATGCAACAGTAAATAACGTTACTATATAGCAACTCTACCTTTGTGTGTTGTAAATTGTCAAAACTTTCGTGTACCAATATTATCTTGGGTCTCATACAATATAAATTTATCAAATGATATCTTAATTTTTCATTAAATAATTATCTTTATTAATCAATTTAAATATATTTATTCTTTTCATCAAATGAAATTAATTTTATTTTTTAATTTTTCTTAAGTCATATTACAAATTTTAATAAATTAAATAACTAATCATTTCTTCATTTTATCATACAAATTTTTACATTGATGTATAATTTACATTACTTTCGATTGTTCAAAAATTATAAGAGATTTATGTATAACTTATGTTATCTTAAATTCTCTTTTATTATAAATAAAAATATTTTTAACGATTTGTAATATAGTTGTGTGATCTTTATTCATCATCATGCATTATTTCTTGTATGATACATGTATGATCGCATTATCTTGTATCCTAAATATTATCTTATAAATTAATTTTAATCTCAAAATGAACTTTCTTTTACTAAACTTAATTTTAATCAATCAACTTCGTAAGTTTTAGATAGAATTACGTGGCTTTGAGTTTCCTATTGCACCTTGAAATATGTAGGAGTGGGAATTGGACTCGTTAAGTCAAAATAATTTTTTTAAGGTATCAATTAACATTTTTATAAATAATTTGTCTTCTTTTAAAATAAAAATAACAATAATTATTGTTTAGGGGTTAAATAAATATTTTCAAAAATAAAATAAATTTGCACAATTAATTAAAGAAAATCGTTATTTAAACAGACATTGTAAGACATTAATACCTTATCTATATGTAAACAACTCTCGAAAATTTTTCCAATATTTTTTTAATAAACTTAAGTGGCGTCTCTACCTGATTTTTAAAATATTTTCGCCATACCATTCTGACTGCAAAGTTGTGACAAAAAGTAAATTTTCTTTTGTCAAATATGATAAATCTTATGTTTGTGATATTGTCATTATGTTAAGCCAAATAAACTTCTCTTTCTCGTTAGCTCCTCTAAGTTTGCAAACATAAATGGAAATAAGTTATGTTAGACTAAACTTTACATAGGGTGACATAGTCTGCTTGATAATTTTGAAATATGAGTTTGACTTACTATCTATCATAAGCTTTTTATTAAGCATAATATGGTATTTTTAAGAGTCTGATTTGACCTAGTAACATTTTTAATGACCTACTTCATATTGAAGGCTTTAATATACTGTCAAATCTCTTTATAAATAAGCTAAAAAATTATCTAAATAGACATGTATCTAAAAAAGTTATAATGCTTATATCTAAATAGGCAAAACTAAATAAAAATAGTTTCATACTTTGAATATTTATAATAAAATCACATATACCTTTTTATCAATTTCAAACTACATATTTAAATAAGTAAATTATTAAACATATAACAAATACAATTGAATGAACATTAATACATAAATCATTAAACAAGTCTAAGAGTATAAAATTTTAAACCTTAAATCAACAAGCACAATATAACAAAAGAAATTTTAGACATAAAATTAGTAAATACAATAAACAAAAATAAGAAATACACAAATAATAATTATTTCAAAGTAAAGCATAAATATATTATTGAAAAGATGCATCAAACCAACAAATGGAAAGCGACAAATTTGTCATCAAATCTTCAAGGTGGTCTTTTCATGTTGTTCATCAACCTTCCAAATATAATATATATATATATATATATATATATATATATTATTAGACTAAAAATCTTTATAAAAACTTTAAGAAGTTATTACTTTTGATTTTCTTGTCAAATTATACTTGTGACAAAGTCAATCTCTACCATAAATTAATGCCTTAATAGACTTCTCCAACCAAGAATGATATTTATCAATAGCTCTACCTCTAACATAGACTTTGAGATAATATCAAGAATATCTACATCCATCTTTGTCAAGTTCTTATCTTTTGAGCTATTGTTCCTTCATCACTCCAAGGTATTAATAAACTTGCTATCTTTATCAAGAATAATAACACTTTCATCACGATAAGCTTAAAATTCAAATTTCATTAAAGGAATAACTTCTTTTTCATATATCATGCTTAGAATCTGGTATAGTCCAATAATGATTGAAGATTTACTTTGAATAGAAGACGATAAATTGTTACCACTAATATTAGCTTCAATAAAGGATAATTCTCTAGACTTATAACACATTCATCATATTGTCTCTATAGTGAATCCCTTAACTTCTTTATATTCTCTCTGTTTACTTCATTAGATTTATATATCAAGACAAAATATATATCAACAATATGAAATTTGCTTGCCATTGCCATCAACATTTTACATTTCTCCTAATATTTATCAAACTTTATTTTCACTAGAGTTATTATTTGTTTTAAAGAGATCTGTTTAATCTTCTCCATAATCAATTACTTGTTTTACCTTCTAAACTTCTATAATGTACTAATCAACATTAAGATATTCACTACTTTCTCAATACTATCTCAATCTTCATATGAAAGTGCATAGTCATAATGTGACTCTCTCTCTCTTTATAAGTAAAAAATGCAATATTAAACTTCAATGTTGTTGACAATATTTGAAATATAAAATTTCATCTTTTTGGATAATCAAATATAAGTTTTCTATCTTTTATCCCCTTTCGTTCAACATCACAAAAAGTCTTCTTAACCTTACGTAATTGTAGTTGATATACTCACTTTCATAAATATTATCAATCAAGTGCTTAATCTTACTAAGGCCATTTTGTACTAACAAATTTAATAATGTGCATAATATCTTAAATAAAATAGTGCATTACTAAAAAATAATTTACTATTTAATGACAAATTATTCTTTAGACTTCTTAGATATAAATTTTTATAAGACAATACTTGAAAATTTCTCATGTTTTTAAACAATTAAAAATTGCATTGACCACATCAATACCACGCCTTGGAACAAAAACTTTCATAAAACTCAACACCTACATTAATAAAATGCCTAATAATTTTTATAAAATAAATTTAATTTGACAATTTTTAATTCTAACAAATTAAATAATTTTAATTAATGACAACTTTTGAATTTCTATATTTTTGTAATTTTTTAAATTTCATATTTTGGTATAGATTATTTTAAAATACCATAAAAAACCTATAATTTTATACTAATTTTTAATATATTTTGGAAGTTACTTTAAATATACTGAAAATGTAATAATTTTTTATACTATTACCCAGTTATGAATATAAATTGTTATACTAGTAAGAATTATTGATTTATATAATAAATAATATAAATTATATTTATGATATATTTTTTAATTTTTTGAAAATATAAAAAGTTTTATACCCATGCTACATCAAAATTAAATTCTATATTTTAATCAATAAACATGTATAAAAAATATTACTAAGTCTCCCCTTATTGAAAATGTTAATTTTGGAAAATAAAAGATAATATGGTTAATAAAAAATAGGACTACAAAAATGAAACCGTAATTTTTTTCTACATAAATTGGGCCCTCAACAGTCTACAGTAGCAATCTAGGATGCAAACTGATCCAAACTCAAATTAAGAAACTATTGGAACAAAAACAATAATAATAGTAGTAGTAATAAAAAAATAAGAAACCCTAAAAGAATCTCATATATGTAATCTTCAACTCAAACTGGTGCAATCTGTAACGCAGTTTTTCTGATACACAATCCGGGGATTTCTTCATCTGCAAACGTCTCTTCCATTCTTCAGACAGTGATGGGCTATTCAAAGGAACAGCTTCTTGCGCGATTAAAGGTTCTCTTTTTCATCATCTCGCTAATTCAACGCCACCCCCAATTTACTTTCCACTATTCATTATTAATTACCGTACTTTTTTTCTTCTGGGTGTGCTTCGGTTTTCCATTTTATTAATTTCCTATGCTTCGTGAGCAAATAATCAGTCGCCACAGCATGCAGTGTTATTTGGATGATGATGCTATGTTTATTTCTTATTTTTATTTTATTTTATGGACTTATTGTTGTTGTGTTGTGTTTCTCAGGAGCATCAAATTAAATTTTCCCAGATTGAGCATCCAGTTATATTGACAGTTGAGGAAGGGGTAATTTAGTAACTGTAGCTTGTATTGTGCATATTGTGTTCATATGTGTGTGTGTATTTTCCGACCATGTATCTGTTTTCCTTCAGGAAAAGTATGTTGGACATTTGGGGGGTGGACTGAGTAAAAGTTTGTTTTTGAAGGTAATGCATATTTGAATTCGAGGCAGAAAATGCTCTTCTGTTGTTCTAGTATGTATATGCTCTAATTGCTTTGGTTTTATAGGACAAGAAACAGAGATTTTATCTTGTTTCTGCTTTAGTCAATACCAAAGTAGATATAAAAGGTACGAATAAATTTTGTGATTCTGAGTGGAATTTGTTGACTTGCTTGTTTGGCCTTAACTGGATATTCATGATGGTTATTTCCTGGATTAAAACCGAGCAGTGTTATCTCAGCGGCTGGGTTTAGGAAAAGGAGGTTTAAGAATGGCGCCTGCAGAGGCTTTAGGAGAAATACTTCAGGTTAGTATCTGGGTGTTTTTCTATTCTTTTGTTGCTTAAACCTTCATTTATTTCTTCTTTAATTTATTATTATACTGATGATTTATTGGAACAATATTCTGTCTTTGTTTTACCTTGTCATAGAAGCTGTTTTCAACCATTAAATTGACAGATTTTATGTCTGTGTTGTCTGATATCTTAGAGGTTACTGAAACCATTTCTTAGTTTAATATTTTAGTAGTATTATATACCAAATAACTTGGTTGAAATTATCATTAACTTATTCAAACTCCTTGTTTTTCATTACTCACAAGGTACCCTTGGGTTGCGTCACTCCATTTGCAGTAGTGAATGAATCAGCGCGGTATGTATATGCATCATCATCAACATTGTTATTTCCTACTTTTGAGATGTGATCCTTTTTTCCTTGTTAAATTTTGATGCATATTATAATGATAATACTTTGCTCTGGGGTTATTTTCTAACACACATTGATCAAGTTTTCTGATACTGAGAGATACAATATTGTATATAAAAAGCTATGAAACATAGAATAATAAAAGGTATTTGCATATTTTAACGTGAAAATAGTTTGTTTTGTAATCCATGACTACTTCCTTCGGTCCTTTTATAGGAACCTCTTGCGATTGTTGTTGGTCCTTAATATAACACCCTTTACAAAGTTTTAAGAGCATTTGTTATTTTTTCGCATATTTTCCTTTCTTTATTGAACCTTCTAACTTCTTAACAGTTAATGTAATAATGGAGTTAGACTTTTTATAAGGGTAAACTTAGAATGTTGTAATTATTTTTTTCAAAAACCAATACATTAACTATTTTCAATAACTTTTCTTAATCTGTGTGATTTAATTGAAAGGGTCTCATAAAAAGGACCAGAGGGAGTGACTATCTTTCATACACCGTTTCTTCTGTTTCGCAGAGGAAAAACACTGAATTTATAGATAATTTTCCCATCAGCTTGAAAATGACCTTCAATTGAATGATAAACCGGAGAACACTTAGAGATTAACACTGTCATGATTGTAGCAAAACTTGCTCTAATATTTGATAATGATAATGCATTGGCCTGTTGGGGACCATCTTATGTAATGGTGTTTATGCTTTCAAGGGTGTTTAAAAACAATGTTCAGGATGAATCAGCAAATATATTTGAAAGAAACCGATCTGTTTTGTGTGTCTCACATCTTCCCCTTTCTGTAGAGATGTTTCACTGTTATTGGATCAAGGGTTCAAGACTCAGGAATTTTGCTTCTTCCACCCGCTGTCAAATGACATGTCCATATGTAAGTGAGAAGTCTCCTTATGAAACAAATATCCAGTTGCACATTTTTTACTAACCCTTAAAACTTATAAAGTATTATTTCATGTGAGTGTTCTAGAACATAAGGCTTTCTTGTTAAGAATTAGATGAATATAAAATTAGTGGACTTTGAATTATAATTACATAATCTTAAATTCTTAATATTTCTATATCTCATTTTTTGGATGGTATTATAAGATTTTGGATAATGTTTTTTTTGTTGAATAATCTGGGAAGTAACCTTGGTAATCACTATTAAATTTTAGTTAGTCCAGTTGTGACTATGACCAAAACATATACTGAATAAAGCGACTCTGGATTAAAATTCTGGATTAGGTTTCCTGATGCTTTAATTGAGAAGAAAGATAAGCTTGATGACTGAGATAGAGTAACAGTTCTGGGGTTTAGTCCTCATATCTTAACTTATAGCTTTAATGCATGATAAGTATAGTCTAAACAGGTTAATGAACCATCAATATCTTAGAATTCTGTGATTCAGCAAACCTGGTATGTTTGTCCATTTATGCTTAATTGCTGTTGACTACTCAATCTAGTAATGTGTTCTCTCACTTTCACCAAGGCTGTGGAGGAATTCATGGGTATGAAGTATATATCTTTCAGGATTACCAAATATCCAAGTGTGAGACATATGGACTGTATCTGTATCTGTGAATGTATGTTTATCAGGGACCTACCAAATACCAAAGAAGTCATTTTATCAGATGCTGGCCATTTGCCAATTTATTTAGTTAGAAATGATTGTGAATAAGAGAATTTGAATTCAATAGAAGGCATGGCTGAATGTTACTATTGTGATTATTTTTATTACTTTTAAATCATTTTAGATAGTTGTTATGTAAGAAGTTTTTTAGAAAATAATATCGTATTTTGTTTCAGAAGTGCTTGCTTCATGGATCTATGATCTTTCTGCGGTCACTTAAGTATTCCTTTCAAGTTATCCCATAATCATAACAAATTTTTAAATTAAATATTTATATAATCTTTTGTAGCAGAGCGATATCTTTTAGCTTGTCTAGTTTGATGTAAGACATCTGAGTTCAGGTCCATTGTTACTTGATCTTAACTAGATTAACATGTGGTGATCCATCATGCTTTGATGAGCTACACTGGTTTATAAAATAGTTATTTTTTTATCCTCTACCCTCTTTCAGCTTTAAACACCAATGATCTTGACAAATTTCTTAAGTCAATAGGAAGGGATCCCGCATATGTTGATTTTGAGGTAAGTAAATTTAAGGGCATTTCCTATCCTGTTTTTATTAGCCAACCCATTAGTCATTGTATGTCTTCTCTTTCCGTTTGCAGGCTAGTCCTACCGTAGGGAAAGACCATCGACCTGATCTAGCTGCATTAGTTCCATCTGGCTCAATAGTTTTGGCTGACGAACCAGAAAGGCAATCTTCATCACAAGTTCCAATAGATGGAAACCATGTTTCTGTGGGTAATAAGTCCAAGGTGATTTCAGGTAAAAATTCTGTTAAATATGAAAATGTGATATCCAATGTTCATTCATGTATCGACAGGCATATAAACAACTGTTTTTCAGTAATTACAGGCAGCACTTCCTTTTTGCTTCATTGTTGGTCTGCTTTTCTGCTTGGTTGATTTTCACATAGAGGATCATGCACCTGTCTTGTTTTAAAAGATGGTGTATTATATTATAACTGAATCTTCTTCCCTATTTACTTTTTCATCTGAGATATAAGTAATCATGAGTAGAATAAGATATCATCTACAATGGAGCTCAGAAAGCCAGCAGAGAACTAAATTTGATAATCCCTCATAATATGATTATTACGATGCTGGTAGAAACCAGTTCTTGACTCAAGATGGGGTGCTATATGTTACTGATTTCTGGTAGCATGCCAAACCTATCATGAGCTGGTCAGGGGTAGGTGATTCAATATTACTGTGGTAGATGATATTATTTTAGAATAAATCTTTCCTTTTATTTTCCTTTCCTTTGCTAGTAAAAGAGCTTTTGACCTACTTTTTTATTTCTTCATATAATAATTAAGCAAAACCAACCGTTGTGGCTGGAAGGTCCTGCTGATTAGTAACAAGAGTGAATGTCTTGCTAACTTGTGAATCTTTCTGATGCAGAAAAAGTTATCAAGCCATCCATTAGTGAGAAAAATACAACGGAGAAACTAGTCAACAATGCACATTCATCAAGCAACTTCGCAGATGTTGAGCTATTTGTTGAAGAAGTATTGCAAAAAACATCAAAATTGTTGCTTTCAGAGGTAAGAGAATTACTTGTTCGGCTTCACGCTATTTCAAACTTCTATGCTTTCTTCATCAAAGCTCAAAAATATTGATCATACAGATGAAGGAAGACACTGTAAAGCAACATGGAGAGAATCTAGGCACTGTAGTTTCTGACAATCTGCGAAAAGGTCTCAGTGCAGATTTGCAAAACCTTGCTGTAAGAATTTGATGATGCTTTTCAACTTTTTCCTTTCGGTAATACCAAAGCAATGAAATCGGAGCACTAATTAATTACCGTCTATATTCTATTGTAATAAACCTTTATCATATGAAAAATTGTGATATTGATCACCTAATGATTTCTGCTGCAGATGATATTTAAGAACACAGCTTACACACAAGGGTTCTATGCTGGTACTCAACTTCAGTCCAGGCCCTTCTGAAGATACTAATGACATGAAAGTCCCCGGCATGAAAGTGAAAATGGGAGCATAACATCAACTCTACTTGTTCATACAAGGAAATTTATTGCACTCAAGAGGATATCATTTGTAACAAATTTTAAAATTATCTTTATTCTCTGTCGTGTGTGAAATTTACGTTCAATATTGTACAACGATTATTTCACATAATTTAACTGAAGGTCTTATGATTTTTTTTCCTCTTGATACTCGGCATAGCTTTAGAACACACCCCCCCCCCTCCCCACCAAAAAAAAACACAAACATTTGTTATCAAATTTAACTGAAATGGTACAGCTAATAACTTGCATGATGATAAATTCAATCAAAACACGAAACCTAGTAAATATATTATTTAGACAAACACAGATTATTATTATTATTATTTATTTGCATTTGGTCTATGGTTAATGTCTTGACTTCATACTTAATCAAATTTTGCAATTAGCATGGCATTTAAACTATAATTTCTATTATATTCCTCAGATTTGTTTCAGAGCAACGTGATCATCAAAAGACATCTCTAACTTTGCGCTCAAACCCACGAGAAAATGGGAGATATGTATACTATTCAAGAAAATTAGCAATCAACCCAAGTTGCAAGACAAGTCATGATATCACTATCCATAAGTTCATTCATAATTATAGTTATAAAATTTACTGCACAGATAGTTAAATTAGTTAACCCCGATCACTCTAAGAAGCACTACCAACTACGTTTCCATCTTCATGAGAATCACCAAACTCATCATCATATGCACTATCATAATCATCATCCGAGTTATCACTTGCACTACTATCTGTCACGTTTGGGATTTCAGGTTCTGGGTCCAAACTATGATCCACTATGCTAAAAGTACCACTCTGACCTTCCCAACCATTTACCTGAAGCCTGCAAACAGGGCACGTTTCTTTGTAGTAGTTAAGCCAACGAGTAATGCACTCAGAGTGGTAGGTATGGTTGCAGGGTAACCGGCCAACTCGGTCACCCCCTTTGAACTCCTCCATGCAAATGGGACAGTGAGAGTTATCATGCAACTCTGATATTCTCACACGGCTAATGCCATTCATGACATCAACATGTTTGTGACTTTGAGGTTGTTGATGTCTACCATGTTGAAATACAATGTCAGCCCAATCTTGAAATGGTGGCGGTGGTGGTGGTGGGAAACGCCAGTCTATTTCGGGTTCTGGGTTTGGCGGGTGCGGCGGCGTTGGCGATTCTGGTGGAGAAAAAGAAAGTTGTTGCCATGTACTAGTTGGAGTACTAGAATCAAAGATTACAGATTGTGTGTCTGAATCATCTGAACTATCTGCACTAGTGGGAACAAAGCATAGTTGATACCACCTTGTGGTTTGGCCTTGGCCACGGTTCACTGGCATGGCTTTTTAAGTGTTTATTTGGGCATGTTTTTGGAGATAGTCTTCAACTTGCGATCATCTTACATTTTATGTTCCAATAGTTTTTGGGTTTGGTCCTTTGTCATTAAGTAATGTTGTGTTTGCTGTCACATGCACTACACGTACTCGTGCATCATCAAGCACAAAGAAAAGGGACTGAACCAAAAGGAAACAACGACTTTAAGTCAGAAAGGACAATTGGAGCAATTAATTTTAAGCACTTTGAAAGTGAAAGACGAGAGTATGTGTAGATATTTTGTTGTAATCCTCGACTTACCCTTGTTCTTTCCTTGTTTATTATGCTTGTTTTTAACAAATGAACTTTGTTAACATCTAATTGGGTTTCTATTCATTCTCTGGGGCTAAATTTTATATAAAATATGAGTAGTAAACAAATTTTCCACGTATATGTGGGCCATGCGGGATATTCCCTTCCATTATTTTTTAGGTTAAATTAATCTACAATTCTCTGAATTATATATAATTTTTAATAGGATTCTGTATTTTAACTTTTTGAATTTGTAATTTTTTAATTGAGTCTAGTTATATTTTCATTAAGATTCTATTAAATACAGGACTTTGTTAAAAGAATTTCAAATAATTCAGGACAAAGTCACTATTTTACTTATTTAATAGATTCCTGAATTATTTTAAAATGTGGCCCAAGAAAATAGTTTAAAGACCTAATTATAAACTTTTAAATTATAAGTGACCTAATTATTCAGGATTCAATGAAACCTAACAAAATGTAGCCACTGACCATTATAAAAGATTATATATAAATTCATAGATTTAATAATAAATTTCTCAAATAGTTCAACAACTTATAGATTAATTTAACTTCAAAATGAACTGATTTTTTTTTTTGTCAAAAGTCTTTTACAAATTATTTTTGTGGTCTACAATACTTTTAGAAATTGATTCCTCAGATTTTAACTGAACGTAGCCCGATAGTTGGGCCCAATTCCGTTAGTGGGCCAAAATGTTGAGTAATGGTTGAAAAAACATTCCAAGGCAACTTTGGGAACATAATAATGATGGATCTCAGACCCAGCAAAATGGTAGTCATTGATATATCATATTCTTAGAAAGACCCAAAAAGAAAACTACAAAGATATATCACTTTTTCATTCATGATCCAAATGGGTGATGGTATGCAATTCAAGTAGGAAATTGCGATCGGGTTACTCCATGTACATGAGAAGACACTGCTTTGTCTTTTCTTCTTAGCATGTTGTTGTATTAGGATTTTAAACGCGGTTACAATCAAAGTTTGGAAGATAGATTGGACCTAAACTTAAGCTTAAATATATAATAGAATTTCAAGTCTAAATTGTCTAATTATTACTTATATTTTAACTAAATAGCATTGATTAATGTATTCCAAAATATATTTGGAGTACTATTTATTTAGAGGTGTTTGATAAGGTATCTTTAAATCTAAAAGGAACATTATATATATTTTTAAATTAATAGTTGTAGATCTTCTAATATCTTAGAGATTAAATAATATTTATATATTTTTTAAATAAACTACTAATTCCACTATCTTAATATAAGATTAACGGTTATTTGATTTAGTTTCACCACACCACAATATCCAGACAAAGCTAACTGTCCTTATGATATTTCCCTCTAACTCCGTACAACTTTATTTAATAATAACAGCCAATTTTTTTTCATGATTTAAGAACTCTGTTATAGAGTTTATTTGACAGAGCCTCTGAACAGCGTATGATTCTCATAAGCCATTTTATTTCAATAAGTTAATTAGTATAACTCATTAAAACAAGTTGTTTTTAGTTTATTTTAATAAATTTTATTATATAAATTGTCATTTTAAAACTAACTAAATAAGTGCTTAAATAAGCCATTATTCAAATACACTTTAAATAATTGTGCTGTGTGAAGAGGATAATTGAAGTTATTATTACATGAGTAAAGTGTTTAATTATCAAATACAATCAATTATTAAATTAATAATTAAGAGCAGTGTCATGTTAGTTTTTCTTACAATATCCTTTTATTAGTTTACTAAAAATATTATTAAATGCATTTAATATATTAAAAATATCAGTTTTGTTAACTTTAATTTTTAAGGCTAAATTTAAGTATATAAAAGTAATAAATTTTTATCAAAAAGTATTTAGTATATTAGAGATATAAAACTGTAATGAATATTTGTTAAGTAAATCTACTATAATTAATTACTTAAACTCAGCTCTACAATTTGAAGTTAACATTTTTTTAAATATTTAAAGTATTAAACTATTTTTTCATTAAGTGAACAGGGCATGCAAAATATATTTGATTTTGGTGTCATTACTTGGGCATACAAAATAATAATCCATAATAAAATTCATAGAACAAAAGAACAATGAAGATAAGAAGAATCTAAAGACTCCTTTGCAGGGAAATTGATCTTAAAATCTTGAACAAGTAAAGGTTTCCTTCATGTCCTACATGCAAACTGCAGCATTCAATCTTCCAAGTCATTAAGAACTCTGAAAGAGACAATCTAAACTTTTTTATTCTGTGATTGTGAAGGATCAGGACTGGAGGCTGTTGCCTGTAGTGCCTCAGGAGTAGAATGGACTTCCATATACTCAAAATGGGCCAAAATAAGTTATTAAACCTGATCAACCAGAAGGCCCAATTGCTAAAGAAATATCTATAGGGTCAAAAATACTATTAGTCCAAAATAAAAAAAAGATTGCTCTTAAAAAAAAAAATATATATATATATATATATATTATTTTATTTTTCTTACACTTGATCTGAACCTTTTATTTAACTTATATTTAAGTAGGTTATAATTTATCATTCCACTGACAGTTAGATGTAAGTTAATTAAAAGACTCAAAAATTTTAAATTTATATGAATGTGAAAAGATCTTTTCTTTTATATATATATATATATATATATATATATATATTAATTTAGATATATATCCCATTAATCCTATAAAAATTAGATAAAAATAAATGCAAAATATATAATAACAACATGAAATTTTATCAACTTTAATTTTTCTCTAATAAACGCAAATGAAAAATAAAATTATCGATTAATAAAAAGACTTGGAAATATTTAGAATTATTTCATGGGTAATATGATGTTGCATAGGCTTATAAAAGAAATGGCTTAAATAAGTTTTTTTTTTTGTATTAAAAGTTTTAGTGTTTTAAAATTTAAATTTTTTTATTTGGTTTCTTCTTTTTATTTTTATTTTAGTGTCAAAAAGTATTTTCAATTTTTATTTGGTTCTTTTATTAGTCATTTTCCTAAGTTAATGTATTATTTATTTATATCACAGTAGAGTTGACTCATATAATTTGACTAGAATATGACAAAGAGACAAGATATGTGATTAACAACTTCATATCATTCATATTTTTGAATAAAAAATTAGGTTCTAAAGTTAGAACTTTTAAAATTAAGATTTCAGAATATGAAAGAAATGAAGATGTAAGTTGCATATTATCATCCAGATGGATTCTATATCATATTATATAAATCAAGTTAAATACTATATAAGCAAATAATAGAAAAAATTAACAGATTAATCAATGGAGAGAAACCATATGAAAAAAAAAATTGGAGGATTTGTTTGAAAATTTTTTAAATAAGGGATCAAATAAGAATATCACAAAATTTTGAAAAATTAAAGCTCATTTAAGAAAAAAAATGATGTTGGATGAACTAATGGATTGTGCTATAAAATACAGTCAAAAGATGATAAAAAATAATTTTTTAAACCTGTGTCTAAAAATATACAATAAAATTAATTAATAAATTTTTTTATAATTTGTAATAAAAATTTTATATGTACCCTTAGAGATACATTTTAAAAAATATATAAATAAATAAGAAAACAGAAAGACATGGGGGGTGATGAATGGTTGGTTTTGGTAATGTACAAGTGTGGTGGTGAACTACAGAGGTGCTTGCTTTATGTACATTTAGCAATGAAAGAAAGCGCTTTTCTTAAGGGTGAAATGGGGCAAAGTGTTATGGATGTAATTGGTAATTTATTTCTGAACCTAATGACATGATTTAGAGAGATGGATAGAGATATTTATCTGCATGCATCAAAGTCGTGAGTTGATCTCTTCATTCACATTTCACAACTGGTTTATACATTACCACATTAATTAATGACTGTGATGAACGATGAATCACTGCACCTAATAAAATGACCCTTTTTTGAAAAGGAGAAGCCACGCCAAAAGGTTTTTCTTTTCCCTCGCAGCTACCTCGAAGCTTCAACTAAGGACAATATGGAACTATAAGTTCATAGATATCCTTATTAGAGATGTTAAAACGAGCTTTTACTCGTAACTCAATTCCACAGAGCTCCATTCATTCACCACATAAATTCTAAACTCACAAATATCCAATGCTGTTATGACTCAGATTGGTGAGTACTGCTCCACCCATCATTTTAATAATCATAAAAAATAATACACTAATTTGGTGTTTTTGTGCTACCTATTTGTGATATAACTTTTTTATCATATCATATTGAATCGCATATAAACCTATTTTAACAGCTCTAATCCTTATGTTTTTTAGACATGTGACTGAGTTAACCGAAGTACATCAATATTTTTGTTTAAATATTATGTATATAGTAAAAATATCAATAAAATTAGCAAGTTAAACTAAAAGATAGTGTCAATAATTAATTTTTAATAATAAATAATTATTAATTGATGAATAATAATTAAAAGTAATATTTTAAAAAGAATACAAGATCTTACTAATTAATATTGTGAAAGCACCGATTAAGTGGTTAAAAGATTAATAAAAATATATTTATGATTAATAATATTTTTATGATAGACTTATAGTTTTTAAAAATGGATCATTTATATTAATTTTTTTTTATAAAAAAAGATCTTATAATTGGTTATAAGCTTCCACTTGTCTTGTATTGGACCGGTCCTGGTAAAGCTAACATATCCACCACGTAATTTAA